ATAAACTATAAAAGTGGTAGTCAATTTTAATGAAATTATTTTTTTAATATGATTAATGTTGAATCGTGTAAACAGTATTTTTTTTTGTACGTTCATTTGTTGATGATTTTGAATGTGGAAAGAGAGAGAAAGAAAGGAATTTCCAACAAATTTTTAACGCCCCGCAGTTAAAGAATTAAATTTCCGCTAAAATGGCAAAATCGTGGATAAATTCCTTTGCAATTAAAGTTCCATATACAGCTTTTTTTTTTTATTCATCAGCGTATCTATGCGGGAGTATCACGTAACAGCGCCAACAATCTCGACCTTTCTCCCCTCGTCGATTCCCTCTTATCAAACGAGGAACGCTCATTCACGCCTTTCCCTTTAATGAAACGGACCCTCGGCCGTCTGTTTCTCCTTGCTTCCCTTCTTCCGCGGCGGAAACGTTTTCCACTTGTTTCCATCGCGGCCGGCAGGCCGGACGCGTGCGTGTCTTCCTCGTTACATACGTCTGCACGCACGCACGCACGCACGCACGCACGCATGCACGCGAGTACACGCGCACGCTCGCGTGGGCGTGCATTCTCGACTTGCGTGTGTGAAGCGCGGTTACGACACGGCGGTTCCGTTGCATGCCGGAACGTGAGGTTAAAGGAACGCCTCGCGCGAACAGGTTCCCTTCTTTTCCACGACGCCGACCGCCGAAGGGAGTAGTGAGTTTCATCAGCGCGACGACATAGTCAGAGACTGACAATGGACCGCGTTCTCACCGCGCGTTTAAACGATAAACGTGAAGGATCCTCCGAGAACGATACAAGTGAATTTCAAGTATGCGAATGTGAAAATTTTATTTAAAAAAAAAGTTACTTTGAAATTTATTCGAAAATCTTTAATCCTGGATTTGTATTAGAATTTTCTGTTATATTTAAAAGTGACATATAATTACACGAAAAGATTTTATTGAAATAAAAATTTAGCTAGATCTGAAAATAATTTTTTTGGAGCATCAAAATAATTATCCAGAAAACTCAAGTATGATGAACAATGCTGTGAAAAGTTTTGACATTCTAACAACTAGCTTAACATAATTATTTTGATGATTTAACAAAATTATTTTCAGATCTGTATCTATAGTTGAATTTTTAGATTACTTTAGCAAAATCGTTCTTTCTATAAAAATTGCGACGTGCGAAGTATGTCTGGTTTTATTAGGAAAAAAAATCCATAAAATGCGAAAGTTTCCCCGATTCACGAAGTTGCCTATAAAATAACAAGTATTTTCGTCGTCGCTGGATATAAATGTTTAAATGGAGATAAGATACATAGAGCGAGTTCTTCGTTGCAGGATTCTGCCTCGATAGAACGATACTTCATAGAATTTTTCCGAATATACGCTTCTCGTTACCGTCGAGCGTCGCGCTTTGATAAATCGCCCATGTTTGCCATTAGTCGTAGTTTCCGTCTCGATGAAAAATGCGGCTTGCGCGCTAATAAACAATATAACGTCGAATACGGCGCGGCCGTTCTAAAATTGTGAACGTTCCCACGAAGCCGAGTAATTTGTACCGTTCGAGACACGATCGTTAAACTCTTTCGTGCGGCGATTTAGCAGGTTTCTTGCTGGCAAGCAGTGAACTCTACCAACCGGTCAGTAGTCGTCAAAGACTTAGATGTTCGTATAATTCGAATCAAACCGTGATTATTATTAACTTCTCGGGACAACACAGATTGCACGATTACTCATGGAATTGATGAAATGCTATACGAATTCAATACTATTTTTTTTAACGTTGAGAAGGAGATGGAGGAAAATACAGAACAGATATAAAAATAAAGATTTGTAAGTTTTATTTACGATGTTTACTATTTGCATTGCTTTATTATCAGGACATAATTAATACAAGTAGATCGTTATGAAGTTGGAAATGAGGAAAATATCAGGAAAATTGAAAATGGTTAGGGAAATCAGGGAAAAGTCAGGCAATTTTCCAAAATTTTCTGGAAAATTAAATTTCTCGGCTTTAAAGAAGTTTAATATACGTACATCGCATCTGCGATTTTGGAATATTATATCAACATAACAATTAAATGCAAGGTTGAGTCAGTAACATTAATAATAATTTACATTGCTATGTTAAAGTGCTCCCTCAACAAAATATTATTGAAAGTATAAGGAAAAATCATGAAATTTTGTATGAAAATCAGGAAAAAAAGTTTCGAAATTGTAGGATGAGGAATTTATGACAACTCTAATATATGTATATATGAAATATAAAAAAATATTTTGTAAGTAAAATTAATAATTTTTTTGAATTCTTGATTTATGTAATTCATTTCACAAATCATTGTTATCATTTTTGACAAGTTTCCACAATATTATGAATAATAAAGAATGTGACTAATAAAGAACTTTAAGGGCGAGTCGAGCAGTAAATTAAGAGTAAACTAGATTTCAAAGTACAATAGAATATCTCACGCTGCTGTATCAGCTGTGAAGATTTTGGTGTTGCGAGCTTTTGTTCTCGAAGTTGTCGCGCTTCTAACTGAGTTTTCCTTCTCCGAGAGGTCGGTTGTCAACGGAGTCAGGTGTCGGGGCAGAGAGACGAGCTTAGATACGACGCTCCGTTCGCGCACGCAGTCGGCGTGGCAAAACCACAAGGCACCGCTCAGAGCGCGGTCGTAGGACAGTGCATTTAGGGTCGATGCCCTCCTCTGTGCACCGTCGATCGTTCGGTGCTCTACGTATTTTCTCCTTCTTTCGCTCTTTCTCCCCACATCGGGCTTTCCGCGCCGCCTCTACTATCCTCGCCCGCCTTGTCCTCGGCCCGGATACTTGTTGGACGGTCCTTGGAGACTTGCATGCACCTCTTCGCGATGATCGAAAGAACGAATATGCCCCCGTACGTTTCGCTCTTTTAGAAGAAAGGAGGAACGAGAGACAAAAGAAAAAAAAATAACGGAGGAGAGCAAAGATCGATTCTCTCGAGCTTATAAGTTCGAGCGCGCGGCACGCGATTATCCTTATTAAATTAAACGCGACTAATTCCAAGGGCAGGCTGATAAACGACTTATTTGCTTAATGACATAGAAGCGGGTAATTGCGATCGCCGTATAACAGTTTGTTCGAAGCGTTTCGACGAGAGCGAAGTAATCTCTGGGAATCGCGATGTGCTTGAGCTTACTCGGAAGCAATTACTTTGGGCATCTGCTCTTTTCCTCATACAGATCTTCGGCTCAAATCTCGGCGTTATATGAAAATGTTATTTTCTGCGTCTTACTTGTCTTATTGCGAAAAGTCTTTAACGCTGAAGAGACATTAAAACCTTCGCATTATGTAAATGTATACGTTAGATTGACAGTAAAGGAATCCCATTTTTTGTCGTCTATATAAGCACGACCTTGTCCAAGAGCCGTGTACTGTTATTATCCACTTTATTAAATTAAGCGAGAGCGATACAGAGAGAAGATAATGCAAGACGTGACTTGGAATTAATATCCCAACTTTTTAATGCATTTAAGCACTCTCAAAAGGCGATAAATTATCTCACGTGTAATTTAATACGCTGTACGTTGAAGTAGCACGCGTTATATCCACCGCTTTTCAACCACCCTGGTAATTTTTCAAGCCTTTAGTTGCCTCCAAAGCGCGCAATATGCTTTTCGCATATCTAAACATTCGCAAGGAATTTTGATAATTTGATGTGATCTTCCTGTATCTTAAATTACTTACGCGAAAAGAATAATTTTGCTGAAGTGTCGGAAAATTGAGCTGGATGTATAGGTCTGAAATATTTTTGTTGAACAATCAGAATAATTACATAATAAATATCTCAAGCATGATGAGTAATGTAGCGAAAAATTTTAACATTCTAGAATTTGAGCGTTCTACTTAATTATTTTGATGATCCAACTCAGCTGTTTTAATTCAGATCTATTTAAATTTTTGGCAAAGCTATTATGTTCGAGTAGAGATAACTGAAATAATAATTTGAATAAATTTTCTTATTTTTTGTTGATATAGTAACAGGGAATAAATCTTTTTTAACCTATATTAATTTGAAAGTTCCAATTTTGACTAAGTAAATTTTATGTACATAGAAAAAACGATTTTGCTGAAATATTAAAAAATTTAGCTGAATACAGATCTGAAAATAATTTTGTTGGATCATCAAAATAATTATGTATACTTATCGCCAATATGATGAGCAATGTTAGAAAAAGTTTTGATTCTAGCAACTAGTTTTGCATAATTACTTTCATGGTCCAATGTGTGCAATTCAGATCTGTATCTATATAAAGTTTCAAATCCATTCTTTCCATAGCAGAGATAGCTAAGATAATAATATGAACAAATTCTCCATTTTTTGTTGACGTAATCTAACCAGTTTGTCCTCCCATAATTATTTCGATAATATAAATAAAATTATTTTCAGATCTGCGTTTAGCTAAATTTTTAGATACTTCAGCAAAACCGTTCTTTCCGTAAGATTTCTCATTTTTCCAATTGCCTTTAATTCAAGTCCAACTAACTCCAGTCTTGAACCTTTCAATAAAGAACGACAATATCGCGCGAGAAATCCTAATGGATGGGAAAGAACGGAGTGGTCGCGGATGCGCGAGAACGGCGCGCTCTAAGGATCAATGAACGATTGTTCCTTAATCCCGCGGTGCTCCACAAGTTGCAGTCGTGTATTTTTCGCACGCATTACTTACCCTCGCTTCATTTTGGATTCTAATCGAATGTACTTGGATCTTGATATCAAATTATCTTCGCTTTCTGCTGGCCGCTACCGTCATCGCCATCACCGTTGTTGAGAATCTCTCGCGTCTGTATAGTCGTGCCGAACGGGTTTCCTTGTTTGACGAGTGACTTCAGAGCGATTTCAGAGGGATTGCGCTAAACAGCGAGATATAAATCCCTCTTGGCGTTCGGTTCGCTGAGGCACTTCGGTGAATCACACGATTCAATGATCCTCAATCTCGGAATCAAATCGAACGGCTCTTTCTTTCTGTTGCAGGAATATCGCGGAGGATCTGATTTTGTCGGATGAAGAGAGCGAGGATGAGGAGAACAAGGTAATATATCCGAAGAAACATTTAATCTTTTAATTGTTATTAAATATAGATATGTTAATAATGATAATTATTTATTATTATTATTATTATTATTATTATTATTAAAATAAGGAGCTTTTATCAGGTCATCATAATAAACAACCTTTAAAAGATATACAATAAACTTTCATTATTCTTTTTCTATCATTTCACGTGACGGTAAAAGCTTCTTATTTTATTGTTTGAAATTTATACGAGCGGATTATCTAATATATTTATTATTATTATTATTATTATTATTATTATTATTATTATTATGAAATTAAGTGAATCCTCAGTTAAATTAAATATCGTTTACAATAATTGTTTGCAATATTATATAATGAAACAACGCGCTTTCTGAAATAAAATTTTGAAACTATATAAAAGTTGCACGATTAGCTGCACTTTCACCTTCAAGTTTGTTTTTTCGTTGACTTTTTGCAATACCGCAAAGTACTTTCGCAAACCGATACGATCGAATCGCATTTGACGAAAAACTAAGTGGCCGTTCATCACGACAAGAAAGATTCCGTTCCACTTTATTTCACGGCGAAATTACTAATAGCGGTCTTCTTATTCCCAGGAAACATCATCGAGACCGACGAGAGGAAACAGGAGTCCGGATCTTACGGTCGTGTAAGTACCTTTAATTAATCTTTGTTGTTTACGGAAATTAACTAGGATTAAGGAATTAATAATAAAAAATATGCTTGCTGTTTCTTGAAATTATTTTATTACACTTAAAGATTTTTAAAACAAGAGAGTTTTTAAATGTTTGAAACACTTCTTTTGAAAGTTTTTTAACGTTCTTGAGAAGATATCTCAAGATATTTTCGAAATTGTATTTTTGACACAAACATTTATAGTTAATATTTTAAATAATTCAATACGAAAAATAGAAAGAGAATTTTTTTTGGAAATCTCATACCTTTCCTAAATGCCTGCACATTAATTTTCTTCGATATACATGTGTATATACAGTATGAAATATTTTGTAATTGTGTTAGATTGATTTTTGTTAAAATTTTTGTGTTGAATTTTTAATGACTATTAATTGAACATGTGATTTCGTTATTTAAACATTTTATGTTAAATTAATATTTCTTGTAGTATTAAATATCCACATTTCTTGTAGTAATTAAAATAACACAATTTATAAGCGAGTGAACAATTAATATAAAAATAATATATTTAAAACGTAAATTCTAAAATAAATGAATAAAATGTATTAATTTAATTTATTTTAAATGTTAATTTTACGGAGGAAATATGCTTTTATAATTTGCTTACAAATTGTGTCAGTCTTGTATTTTTTTGTTATTTTTTAAATGTAATATTTGTGTTATTTCCTGACATATTTTGTGTTAAATAAAAAATTTGAATGGTCTGGGACACGTGAAACGTGTTAAATTTAATACGAATTTTCCAATTATAATATCGTGATCTTGAAATTGAAAAATTTGTTTCAATTGGCCAACAAGACATTTCTACGATTTCCAGTGTCTCGATACCTTTATCGAAAATCACGATGTCCAATTTTGAGCATCGTTTGATCAAACATCCTTACAGTCTATCGACACCATTGATGACATCGGCGCCGCCGCCTTTGACACCTATATCGCTCATGATCATGTCACCCGTGGGCCCCCCATTGTCACCCCCGCGGTCGATCATCAGCCCGTCGAGATACTCGTCGCCGCTACCGAAACAGACGACACCGGAGCGAGTGCTGTCTCCTCCAGCGGGTGTCAATCATCCCCTGCCATCCGCGTGTTCCCCGACGAATCCGGTTGTCGTCGGCCAACCGTCGAGTCCAGCCGAGGCGCCGCATAGCTCCGGAAGCGCCAGCTCGAGCTCGGATTCCGGTTCAGATTCCGGCTCGGATAGCAGCGATGATTCCGAGGACGAAGACGACCTGACCTCGGCACCGCCGCCATCCAAGGGACCTACGACACCGCCCTCGGTTTCACCGAAGCAGGACAATCTGGTGGAACCGCCGCCTGCTGAGGAACCTCGTCGTTGGGATCTCATTTCTTTTCTGCAGCAGAACGGCAACCAGAATGCCGAATCAAAACCTGCTCAGGTAAGACTGTTTACATTAATTATGGAGCAACATTTAAATTGTTTCTTCTTCCCAGTCTGTTCGTCTCTTGTCAGAGACGTGGTGACCTTTTCTGCATAATATATCCTCTTATATGTGAGACTTAGTTTTTTAACTCCGGATCCCCGAATGGTCATGTCAGAAGAGATTATTATGACAAAGGTGCTTTCATCATTGCCTTACGAGAGATGATCAAATAAAATATTAATATATATGTTCTGAGTGGATTTGAATCCGGATCTTTGGTACAGAAAGCTCCGCAACTCACTATACCATAATTCACGTCATTTTGTTAATATATTGTAATATTTAAAAATCTGAGGAAAACTTTTAAGAAAGAAATTTTAAAACTTTGTAATATATGACTTTATATAAAAATATAGATACGTTTAAAAGTAAAAAAGTTATTTCTTAGTTCAGTGGAACAGTAGATTAAAATCTGAAGATTAACTAAATCGATCTAGTTCTTAGTACCTAATTCTATATATTATATTATAAATTAAATATGTATAATACAATAATATAACAAACATTTCAACTTATAATTATGAAGTTATTATTACTTATAAGTTAATGAAGTTAATAAAAACCTCCGTAACATAAATGAGTCAATAGACACATACAAATCAATAGAGTATAATTTCGCCGAGTATAAAGTTGTTTAGATAAGATTACAAATGTGTCAAAAAAGTCGTTTGATTATATGTTTAAATTATATGAGAAATTATGCCAGAGAATTTATTTTAAAAAAGGGATTGCATTGTTTTTACAGGATAATGCCAGGCGGGAAAATACGCATGAAATAACGACGGAGACCAGATCACACAGAGAACAGTCTCATGATTGGCAGCTCGGCGAAACCTTGAAGAGGTCTCATAACATGAGTTCTCTCAGCGACAGTGATCATCATTCTGATAAGGAAAAGAATCAATTAGTTGAAGACAATCGCGCCCAGACGGAGAAGCCAAAAGTGGCCGATACTAAGAAACGCGGACGACCCAGGAAATCCATCAAGAGTCCGAAACGCAGTCACCGGACGTCGGACGAGAATGTAAAGAACAGCAAGTCCCGCAGCCGGACGAGAACGGTCGCCACTCCTGGCAAGAAAAAGCCACCCAAATCGAAGGAAACGGTGACCTCAAGTGACGACGACAATGACTCAAAATCGCAAAGTGATTCCGATAGTGATCGTCGACTTACCAAAGTGTCGGCTGTAGTACCAACAAGAAACGAAAAGAGATCGAGACTGAGTCTGTCGTCTAGCGATGACGAGAGTTTGCCACCGAACAGGAAAAATAATAATAGTGCCTCCGAGGACGACACTGCGCGATGGACAAGAGTTCCCCCCATCAAGCGGAGCAACCTGTTGGACTCGCCAAAGAAGCAGGATCAGAAGAAAAGTTCCGCCAAAGGCAAGCCTAGGCAGCCCAGATCTAGAGTAACCAATGTAAACGGCGGTTCGGATTCCGATAGTGAATCAGAGATGTCTGTAAGGAGTAATCGCATCAAAGTCGCTCGGTAAATTATTTTTCATACAATTACTCTAATGCATTAATTATCTCTTTTTTTTCTTCTTTACTAGATGTTATAAATTTTGCATATACTTCCATTTAATTTCCATTTAATTGTTTATATCTTGTTCTTATATTTTGCACGTGATAAAGAGAGATATAATTTTTTGTTAATAAAGATAAAATAATAATACAGCAATTTCATCGACATTTATAATTTATTAATAATTTAATTTAATTCTGTTTTTTCGATTTTCTCTTTTTCACCTTTTTGTTTTCATGTAGTGTAAGCAAGACTAATAAATATTTTTTGCAATATTTAATAAAAGTATTGTAAATGCCAGAGTGCCACCCAGACCTCGAGCACCACCAACGAGAACGACTTCGCCTGATAATTCCGATAGCGATAACAGCCCGGCGTCAAAATTGCAAGAGGATGACGCCGGCAACGTGCAGGACAAGAAGAAAAGCGACACGCTGCGCCACGTCTTCTCGACGTCGAGAGGCATCGGGAAGACGGGTGGTAAAGGTGGGAAAGGTGGAAAAGGCGGTGGTAAATGCGGTATCTACGTAGAAGAGTACACGAGTAATTCTGCTACGCACACACCGACGGGCGGGGACAGTCCGTACAAAAGACCGTCCTCGCGGACGTCCAGTAGTGGCAACAATCCTCTGCTGCGCTCCCCTCCAGCACTCACACATGTGAACGGCGTACCAAGTCTTATGTGCAAAATCGATCTCAGCAGGATATCTTTGCAAATTTTCTCGAATCTATCTAGAGGACAAGAGCTCAGACAACGCACGGAATTGCCTGACACTAGGCCATCTTCGAGACAAAGACCATCCTCCAGTTTGGCGACCTTGCAACCACCGAGGTCGTCCACGCCCGAGGAGGGTGAGATCATCGATACACCGCCTCCGCAACAGCAGGTCGTGTCGGATCGTACGAGAATCCATCGTTCCGACGGACTGCTAGGCGAGAGTGACGGCAAGATTTCACGTTCTGTGATCAAGGCCCAACCGATATCGTCGGACTCGAAGAGCGGCGGTACTGTTCTTGGAGGTGCTGGTAGTGCTAATAGTGTCGGTACGCTTGGTAGCGCGCCTAAGAGGAAACGTAATCCGAGTTGTAGTTCCGTGTCTAGTTTGAGCCCTATTCAGTGTTCAGTAGATGCGAAAACTAAGAATATATCCGAGCATAATATGAATAATGTATATATAAATGAATATGGATGAGAAAAAGAAGTGAGATCCACGGAAATACCTAATATATGTATATATATATATTTTTTTTTAAGTTGTATTAATAATTATAAAACAATATTATATTCATATTGATAATAATATATTCATATTGGTGACGAGTTTCGATAGAACAAAGTCCAAGAGTGTAAACCGGATCTCTTTGAGTCGGAATCCAGACAGACTTTGCTCGCTGGGACTTCAACATCGCTTTAATTATCATCTCTCAGGAACGCATTATCCGGGATTAAGATACGATTGCGTCTGCGGTCCCTAAATTAAAGCCCGGCTTTAGCTTCTCAGATTACAATCCCGAACGAAGCTAATCCACCGAGATTAACAATAAGCGGTTCTTACTACTGTTCTTAAACAATTGCGAGGAACTTAAACATACATTTTTTTGCTCATAACGCACGAATAAAGCTTTTTCTCTATCAAATAATGAGTTAAAGAGATGTCTTTTTTCAAAAATAGATTAGAATTTGCATTTGCACGTAAAATCAGTAGGTATACAGTAAAAAATACATTTTGTATTTGTGTTAAAATTGATCTTTAAAATTTTGGTGTTGAATTTTTAATATATCCAAGTCTTAATTTAACACATGTGATTATATTATTATCACAATGTGTTATATTATTTGAATATTTCATACTAAATTGATTTTCAACATTTCTTAATGTTAAAATAACATAATTTATAAATAAATGAACGAATAACATAAAAATTATGTATTTTAGATCGTAAATTCTAAAATAAATGAATAAAATGTATTAATTTAACATATTAACATTAATTAAATGTTAGTTATACATGTTAATTGTACTGAAGAAAAATGCTTTCATAATTTGCTTATATATTTATCTTGTGAATTAACATAAAAATTTGAATAGTTGACTATTTCAGTGGATATAAAATGTATTTTTAATATAAATTTTCGAACTGTGTGTATTTTTCATTCGAGCAAATCGAGTGAATTATGAATTCGTAAATTTTTGGTTTTCGGTATACAAGATAAGAAACGACAAAGTAATGCACGAAACGATTCCTTCTGTCGATTCCTTTATTATTGTCTAAAAAGAGAATACTTTTGACAGCGATTTGAAGAAACAACCTCGCTCGCGAACGCGATCTCAAATCGAACTGTTTCCCTTTCCAAATTGATTTGACGACGAGCGATCTCCGATGAGAACCCGATTCTTCGCTACGGCCGAGATGTGTGTGAAAAACATTTCTCGTTCACCTTTCATGTACAAACTGGGCGATTGTGGTCAGGGCCGGCAAAGTAAATTTTTCACATGTGTGGAGTGGTCAACAGGCAGAAGGATCTGGTTAAAATTAAATTTCAATAATAATAAATTTATATATTTTATACAGAGTGTCTGATAAGTTTTAACAAAGCGCTCGTGTGTAGATAGTGCAGATTAAATTGTCGAAAAGTCCTCTACCATTTTGCAATTTTCGCAGTAGAGATGAGATATATATTTCTAAACATTGTCAAATAAGCAAATAAAATCGACGCTTAAAACAATTTTAAGATTTCTTTCAGAGTTCTTTATGAAATATCTTTATTTCTAAAAGGGCTCTAAAAGGTATTTTAGTTGTTTTATACGTCAATTTTAGACATTCTGCTCATTCTGGGTAACTAAAAAAAGTTGCGAAAATTGCAAAATGATAGAGAACTTTTCAACTTTAAATTTAGCTCTATCTATATATACAAGCGCTTTGTCAAAACTTATTGGACACCCTGTATATGTAATATTATATGCGCGCACGCGCGCGTGTTATATACGTGTAATATATTATATATTATACACGTCATAATAAATAAATAAATAAAAAAGAATTATGATAACCAGAAAAGAAAAGATTTCGTTAAGAACCAATCAGAGCGTGTAGCATTGTTTCATTGAGATATCGCCAATAAAAAATCTAATAACTCGTTAAAAATTTAGGTTATGTAGTTCGACGTGTATAGAAATTCCACATATGCCAAATTCACATGTGTGAAATACTCCATCACTCCACATATACAGGGTGTCCCAAAATAATCACCAAATATATATCATGAGCAAGTAGAACGGACTAAACTGTGTTAAAAAGTTTTCTACCATTTTGCAATTTTCGCAACAGTTAACAAGATATTAATTATTAAAAATTGTCAAAACTTAGTCTTCAATAATTTTTTACTCGAATACTATCAACTTTACAGAAAAACTACAAGAAACAGAAATTGTTTATTTTCTTCTCATAGAACTCCAAGAATTTTTTCAGAATTTTTTCAGAATTTTTTCAGAATTTTTAATTCCGTATATTTTCATGTGATAAAAATAGGAAAATGCAGTATTAAAAAGTTGATAAAAAATTTTGAAAAAATTCTTAGAGCTCTATGAAAAGAAAATAAACAATTTTTATCTGCTGTAGTTTTTCTGTAAAGTTGATAGTATTTAAGTAAAAAATTATTGAAGACCAATGTTCGACAATTTTTAATACTTAATATCTTATTAACTGTTGTAAAAATTGCAAAATGGTAGATGACTTTATGACTCAGTTTAGTCCGCTCTACCTGTCCATCAAATATTTGGCAATTATTTTGGAACATTCTGTCGATCGCTGGCTGTGATTGTGTCGACTGGTGCATCTGTTCTTTCCTTAGTGGTTACTTAGTACTCTTGGTACGAGCCAATCGTGGTCAGCGGGCAACAGGTGGCCGACCAATCAGGACTGATTGGCAACAGGTGACCAACCAATCTTGCGCTGCAGACATGACATTCGTTCTCTTTCGTCAAGAAATTGACCGGTCCGAGCATTTTACTCCTTCATATTCCTAAATCACTAAATCCACCGATAGCTATAACATTTCTCTTTTTTTCTTTCTTTCTCAATCTCTTATGTTCATATAATTTATTCTTATTATTTTTCTTTTCGTATAATGAAAAGGTAAAAAAAGGTTTATAAATGAGAGAGAGATAGAGAGAGAGAGAGAGAGAAAGAGAGAGGTGTCAAATTCTGATTTTAATGAAACTTTGTGTACTTATATAGCTTACATAAAGAGATGAATTTAAAAAATATCAGTTGCGGCCAAAAACGGTTTGAAAAATCATCTTTTATGTGTAAAGTAATTTTCCGTTATATCAAAAACTATTAGAGATATCAAAAAATATTTTACAACAAAATTAGCTGTATTCATTCACGTTAGTAATACTAAAAAAATTAATTTTTCTAAATTTTCAAAAAAAAATTTTTAATATTTGAAAAAAATATTACTGCCGTGAATAAATAGAGATAATTTTATTGTAAAACTTTTGTATGAAACATTTTTTTATATTTTGAATAGTTTTTAAGATATATTTTATCATTTTTTTGTGATAAAAATCCACTTACAAATAGTTTTATAATAAAATTATCAATCATCTATCATCAACAATATTTAAAAAAACAATAATTTTTTGTAAAAGTTCTAAAAGTTGTTATCAATAAACGGTTTAAAGGGTGAAATCAGCCCTCGTGTGTAAAGCGATGTTTAGCTTTCTCTGCTATATCTCAAAAACTATTTATGATATAAAAAAATATTTTATATAATAGTTTTACAATAAAATTGCCTCTATTTATTCACGTTAGTGATATTTTTTAAGAATATTTATTTAAAAATTTTTTTGGAAAATTTTGAAAAGTAATTATTTTTAAAAAATATTATTAACGCGAATGAGTACAGCTAATTTCGTTGTAAAACTTTGGTTTAAAATATATTTTTATATCTTGAACAGTTTTCGAGATATAATTAAAAAAACTGAAAACCGCTTTACACATAAGGGGTGGTTTCACCCCTTTAAACTGTTTTTTAATCGCAACTAATATTTTCTAAATTCATCTCTTTATGTAAGCTATAAATACACAAAGTTTCATTAAAATCAGAATTTGGTTAAGAGGTATCTCTTTTAGCCACCTTCAACCATCATAAAGAATTAATTCATAAAAATGCAAATCTCAAATAACCTTAAATGATATTAAACATAAATCACATGAGGTACATTGCAATTTTATAAACAATAATTTTCTCCTTATGTTTGTTACAACGATCTGAGTATACAGTCAACAATTAAAAGGTAAGTCACCGTATTTTCTTCAATGAGTGTCGGAATGCAACCTATTCACTGAGATTAGTTATTACTTATGGATCCATAAGTAAGAACCAATCGCTTGATAAATAAATTGCATTCCGAAATTCATTTAAAAAAATGTGTTGCAACCTTTAGTTGCTGACTATATATGTGAGTCCATGATTCGTTGCCATGTTTTACATATTAAATATGGGCTAAATCGAATATTAAAATACAGAGTAGATCGCAAAGCCAAGAGAGTAATTGCGTATGGATATCCAATATTATAATAAATTATATCATTATGAGAAAGAAGTTAATTACAGTTGTTAATTTTGAGAAAATTAAAGTTAAGAAAGTAGGTTTTTAGTATGGTTTTAAATATTTGATTCTCTCATGAATATCCCTCATATTTGCATTTTTAGATGTACCATAAGAATATTTCAGGTGATATGGTTGCATCTACGATAAACATTAAGGAAGAATACCATGGGTTATAGAAGCCTTGATAAATTAAATATGTACATAAAGATACAAAAAGACTACCTGCATAGCATTTTAGATTTCAGATACATAGCAGATACATAAAATTAAAAATGTTATTATATAGCAGATACATAGCAATACGTATGAATCATATGCCAAATATATGTTTAATACCGATTAATGTCCGTTCTATTAGAGATATAAAAAAAGCGGTATTTTTTATTTTAAAGAAAAAGATCAAGTAAAAAACTAGTTTTTTATTGTAAATAATGGTATTTTTGACTAAATTATATAAAATTCATGAAAAAATATATAGTTATTTCAATATATAATAATTATTTGAACGATAGATATTTTATATTTAAAAGGTAAATAAGTGATGTTATTAATATAGATAATATTTTATTAAG